GGCGGGTACCACAGCATTTATAATTAATGAAATTTACATTTTAGTCAACATAACCTTTGGTGACACAGAAAGTATCCAGTGTTTGGAAAGTGATGTCGGTTTTAAAATGTTATTTTTGTTCTGGCGGCTAACTATGAGAAAAAATTGGAATGAAATGAATTACAGCCAAATATATGTGCCATAAGCAGGTAAAAACAAGACAGTTTCAAAAATAAAAACAATTAAAAATTTCCTCCAACGTAAAAACTAAAGAAGAAACTTTTCAACCACACCCTATTCAGACTTCAAAAGTCTTGAGTGCAAGTAACTGAAACTGTAATCGACGGAGGAAAATTAGCTACTGATATCTTTTCTAGAACATTTCCGCATTCAGAATTCATTGTTCTTTGAAAGGAAAAGTTTCTGAAATTGACTTAAGGCCAAGGTTTTCGGACAACACTCAAGGTCATTTTGAGACTTACAACAAACTAAAAAATAAAGAAAAATATTTTGCTACAAGATCAATTGTAATACACTGCCTAAATTAAAAAATACATTTTACTAATTGTACGAAATGCGTTTATATGTAAATATTAAGAAAATTATAGTTTGTATGCGAATATTAAGGAAATTATAGTTTTTATTAAATACTCTTTAACCTCGACAGTTAAAATTATAAAACTATTTCATTCTTGCAACACGAAAGTGCAAGTGTTGCTTGATTCAAGATGTTTCCTAATTACCTCCCTTGACATATAATTTTAGAATTCTCGCCAAAAATAAAGTAAGAAATATATCTTGCAAGAATGAAATAAGAAATACTAGTGGGCTGCGCCCCCTGCTCGCTAACGCTTGCCAACCCCCGAAAATTGCTACGCAATCTTATATGGTTTGCCTCGCAAACTAAGCTCGCTTCGCTCGCTACTTACTTAGGTACATTGCAACTGCACAAAATTCTAAGAATTCAAAACAATCATTCAAATCCATGTAACAACCTTTTTTTTAAAATTACATCTTTTTAATAAATACTAAGTCATTAAAATAAATTTGAATTCAAATAAATGACATGTAATTCGTTAAACCTTTTAGAAATGTGCTATAGTATAAAATCTTAAAGAGTAACAGCATGACTGAGACTCATTTTTAAATGAATAACTAATAACAATAATAAAACAAATAAATTCGTGATGTAAGTCAGAAATCGTCAAATAAATTCGTAATATATAAATTCATGAAAAAAGCGCTTTCGAAAAAATACTAAAATAGAGATCTATCGACAAAGACTACTCACTTCTGCCTAGCTCGCTTCTGCCTGTATGAGATTGCCGCAGCTGATAGGATGAATTTCGGAAGAGATCACATAGTGAGAATGCTCTCTCTGGTTATTTCAGTTTCCGTGTTTAAAAGCGTTGTGTGTTGAGCCATCTCAGCTAGATTTGGCATGCGACAATTTTAGAGGCAATCAATGGTCGATTTTCTAGTGTTGCCATTCGGGGAGTTGTAATGAGGTTTTTTTTGTCGCCGTGTAAGAGAAATATATATATATTGATTTGTTGAAGTTTTCTTGTAACTAAACAAAATTTATCTTTTGTCACCACAACAATGTTTTGACTTAGAGTGCCTTCGGGGGCTTTAATTCATTAATATGAAAATGTTCATTTATTCTTCGATAACCTCTAAGTTTAAAATCCTCGTTTCATGCACTGTACGAAATTCTTTTTGACGTATTCATCTGTTTAGCGAGAAAAGTCTTCTTTCAATAAGAACATGTAGCGATTCTCTCCCAGAGGAGAATTGGTGCAAATACAACTGCTTCTACTACGGAATGCAATGATTTTGGTATAGCTTGTTCTGTGAATGAACTGAAACTTTTTAATGTGTAAATGCTTAAGAGTCTTCATATCCTACAACAAATTCTTCAGTCTTTTTTTTCCAATGAAAAGAAGTAACTATTATTTTCTACTGTCATTTACCTGCATGAACAGTTTTTCGCAGCTCTTTCACCAAGGAAAATTTACAAATCTCAAATCAAAACCTCTGGGGGTACTGGATTGGAGATTGATCGTTCTCTGATTCAGGTCAAAATTACGATCTGTGGATGAATGAATGGATCTATGAATGGGTCCGCCCTATAAACGGGTGTGACGTATGGTGTGGCAGAAGTCGAATTCTTGGCCACTGAAAACCAAGAAACGCACACTCTGTCTTAAATTTGCTTGGTTTCACCAAGCAGTCTTGCCCGTGTGACAAGTGGCGTTAGAAACAACAACAAATTTACAGATCCACGTTTTAAGTGCCTTACATTTGAGGCAAAGCTATAATTTTAAACTACTTAGGTTTCAAAATGGACAAATAAGCTAAATATTTAGAAGGCAATTAAATTTTTGTTTTTAAAAATTGCCTATTTGGCGAGATTTTTTTTTCTTAGATGAAAATTATCAAAATCAATGATTATAAATTTTTTCAAAATATTTGTGAGCCCAGATAATACAGCGTTGTAATGACTTTTTAATCATAAAAAAATCAAATAAAAATTTTCAAAAATGTAGATTTTACTCGTATTGACGTTGTAAGCTATTTTCAGAACTATCTTTGAATGCGCTGGTTAAAGATAGGCTAAACTGAACCCAGTAGCCAGTACTCACAGAATTCCAAACTCACAGCAATTACAAAATTACCTTATTGTTTGTAAAAAAAAGTGTTATTTCAAGAAACGACAGAGCCTTCGAAAAACAGCCTTAATAGATTAATATAGAATAAAATGTGTGAGAGACTACAATGTTTTGAAAAATGTTGCCAATTGTCTAACGACGAGATTTGAAATTCGTTTCTGCATTTGAGTCACAGCAGTTCTCAAGTTTTTGTATCAGAACTTATGGCACTACTAGATATACACTTTAAAAGTCTTTAAAATGAAAGTTTCAGTATTGTAAGAGCAAATTTTCATAATTCTTATCTGTTAAATAGACTTTATTTCATTACCATCTACAAGTTTGAATAGCACTTAAAATTTCTAGAGAATTTCTTCCTCAAAACTAATCAAAAAAGTCTCTTTTAAGAAAATAGTCTAAATATTGCCCCTTACACTTCAACTTAGAAATCTTAACATAGATTTTATTTTATGTACTCATTCTACAAAAGAAATATTTTATTTCCATTAAAAATATCAAATTTGAACTTTTTTTTCAGAAAAATTTAAGCAAATTTTGTTATTGCTATTAACTGTTTAAAAATTTGTGAATGATTTTAAGAAAGTTTGACAAATAAGTTTACCAATTCTCATGTAATAAAAATTTCATTCAAGAAAGTTAATTGCCACTTTTATCATTAAACTAAACTTTATTTATAACACATTTCTAAAATTTTTTAAAATCATAATATAATCTTGCCATCCAGGTGGCCGAGTGGTTAGCGTGCCTGACTGCGAAACCAATGGCAGCGGGTTCGAATCCCGCTCTAGGCATGGATGTTTCTCTCTCTTCTGTTGTCTTCTGTTGTGTGTGATGAGTGAATGTGGCCCACCCTATGAACGGGTTTGTGGCAGTGTGGCGTGGTCAATGTTACTCGCTTCCGTGACTTTGGTTCACAGGTGCCCACTGGGTAACGCGAAATGAGTAACAACTCTGGCATCTTCCAAGGCGAAACGCCTTCAACTTCAGTGCCTGCCATTCGAAAAAAAAAATAATAATAATATAATCTTCTTATAATATAATATATTCTCAATATAATATAATGTACTAGAATAATGGATTTAAACTAAAGGAAAATCTTGATATATTCAAGCAGGGAATATTTTGAGTAAAATTTGGGGAAGTATAAAACTAATTACACAACTAAATTACTACTAGTATAATGCTTGCATTTAAACTATTCTTATAGAAACTTAAGAGATCAAGTTTTAGCGTATTATTTTATAAATTTTAAATCTATTTGAATATACAGTAATAGCTCAGTGTACGGCATATTACGAAAGGTTTCCAAACATTATGTATGTTCATAACAACCTGAAAATTGTTATCCCTATTGCTTTTTCAATTAGCCACCTGCCCAAAAATTTAAGCGCAAGCCTCCCAATAAAGTGAGCAGGGTTCGATTCCCTGTGATGGCTGGTCGAAACAAATTCCGCACTCGGCTCACACCGACTACAATGCTGAAGCAATGTATCCTCAGTGGTAGACAGATCATGGGTTTGAGCCTCCTTGCTGTCAGGCAAACCGTGTAAGGTTTTCGTGGCTTTCCTCTCCATGTAACACCAATGCGCGTTAACACGAATGCATCGAAAAGTCCTCCGCGAAGTCAAATTTCTCCCAATACTTGGTCCAGGAATTCCCTTGTCTTCTGGATTGGGTTCAAAATTACAAGGCTACGGAGTTGAACATTAATAGCAGTAAACCCAAAATTGGGTCTGTTGTTCAATGACGGTTAAAAAATAGAAATAAAAATTCAAAGATTTGATATTGTTAAGTTTATTTATGAAAAATTTAAGAAAGATCGCAGCAATTAAATTTTTCATATAAACTTTTTTATCTGAAATATCTATTTTTTTCATCCAAAATATCAAATTTTGCAATGTTTGAAATTCTGCGGCATTTAAATTAAAAAAATTATTCCGGTTAGCACTTGATCAAAATTTTACTTTAAAGTTTTATAAAATCATTCATTTTGAAAGTCATCGAATCAGTTTTTATTTCAAAATCTATATTTTTTTACATTTCATCCGAAATTTCAAGTTACAGTTGACAAGAATTGGAAAACCCTAAAACCAATTGTATATTCGTTGCCATACAATATCTATTTTCGGTTAATCATTGACTGTCTGTGTCAACTTGGAAAACATTATTTGTGGTTCCGGTTACCACTTGTCTCGACTATTTACATATCATTTCAACAGAAGCAAATAAAACATCTAATTACAGATAAATCTCATTTAGAGTTCCATAATTTTTATTCGAGTCCTTTCGTTTGATTTGTGACATGCAAATGAGTGATATCGAGAGGGAAAGTGTGAAAATGTGCCCGGGGGCTTCAGACAGACCTCTGGAGATCAGGGTCAGGCTTCGGCCCCGATCAAAATGGAATCGAGAACATAATCGGCTCCACCTTCGGGGAACCACCCTTCTTTTGACAACTAATAAAAATCTATCGGTTACCGTTTTGCGCAGGGGTCACCACGACAAACATCGAGTATAAAAACCCAACGCTGATTTGGAAAAGACATCATTCTATCCTCAACTGCAGGAATAATTCAACAACCATGAAAGTGGTAAGTGATCTTGATTCACAGTTTAGCGTTCACAAAATATTTTGTTATTGTAAAAAATATTAAAAAAAGAACTTAAACTCATACAAATAGTTTAAAATGTCTTAAAAATTATTAGATTTTCTCTTAGTTGTTTGGAAAGTTTTAAATTGTCATTTTCAGTCCAAATTTTCCTTTTGAAAAATTACTTTTATCTGAAATTTGCTTTTAAAAAAATTGTTGATGATTTTTTAAAATCAATTAAATTTTAAAACTAAATTGCAATAAAAATCTTTTAAACAATTTTTTTTCTATTTTATCTTTTTTAGACATCAATTTTTTTCAGAAAAATCTTTTTTTTTAATCTTTTATTTTCAAATATTTTAATCTTTTTAATTGCATTAAAAATATTTTATATTAAGAACTTTCAAAATCATAAATAAATATCTATGAAAATTTAGGCCATATTCAAATTTGATAGTCTAAAATCAGATCACCGAATCTCGATCACAATTCTTATTGGACAAGACGGTTCAAGATATCTTGAGTTATCATCAGCATCAAGTTAATTATAGTCGAGTTAATTTATTTGTGGATGTTAAACTCGTAATACTGAAAGCAATATTTTAAAATTTGCGTAATTTTTATAAATTTGTTACGTTACCTAAAACTATAACATTATATAGGTTGTTAATTATTACTCAAAGCCCAGTTATTAATCTTTAAAAGCTTAAACCAAGAAGCTTTTTTTAACATGCATGTAATTTATAAGGACAAGCATATTTTCAAACGTTTTATATTTATAATTAAACTTAGCCGAATAAAGAATTCAATCTTTCATACTCTCCTCCTCTGAATCTTTTCCTTCCATTATTAAAACTGTGTAAAATGTTTAATTACATAACAATGCTTTAACCATTTCCACTATTATAAAAATCGTTCATTTTCAAAACTGACTCAATACCGGTAGCTTTACTGAAAAGTGTTAATATAGTTCAGAAAAGGGTTGAACTGGAAAAACTGAAATTTTATACTAGTGCACTAACTCAGTTTCATCAAGCAAAATTTAAAAATCGAAATTTGATTTTCAGGTATTAAAAACATTTAAAATAATTACTAAAATTTCCAAACAATGTTAAAGTATTTTATTTTACATTTACATTAAAGTAACGAAATTAAGTTTTTTTTAAATATTTATTGTAAAAGACTAGTATTTAATAAATCCATTTGTAACTAATTCCTCAAAATAATTTATTGAAATTCAAAATGATATACTAATGGTGCATATCACAGCCATGAGTAAATTATTTACTTTTTGAAGAAAGAATTTTTTTTCAACTCTTCAAAAAATTATTAATCAAAACTATGAAACTTTATATTCATTAATCAAAGCTAAAGTGTGCTCATAATTTAGCAAGAAAAATTCCGAGTAGTTAGAATTTTTTAATTTCTTACTTTTGTTAGTAAATTTTAAAATATTATTAATTTTAAAATATTTATAATATTTTTAATTTTGCAACATTAACAATTATATAACTTTTAATATTAGTTTTATTATAGAAATAGATAGCATGTTAACACAAAAAATTTCGAAAAGATTTAGAAAGATTTTGTATTAATATTTTATTACAATTTAATATCTCTACCTTTTCAAATCAAAAAAAAAAATTATTATAAAATTCATTAAAAAAACTGCACTGGTAACTGTATTTATTATTTTATTTTTTACAGTTCGCTATCCTCGCTTTGTTTGTGGCCGTCGCAGTGGCCGAAGACATGATGGCTTCTGAATCTTACCCAGTAGCCTCATACCACCGTGGACCATCACACCACGCCGCTTCATCTGGACACGCTTATGGTGCCCATGGTGCTCAAAGTCACGGATATGGTGCTCATGGAGCTTCTCACTATGGTGATCACGGACGATATGGTGACAGAGCTCATGCTGCTCACGGACACCACAACATTGGAGCATACCGCGCTCACGATGCTCATGGAGCTCAAGCTTCCAATTATGGAAAATACAGAAACACCGGAGCTTATGCTTCAGACAAGGTTGGTAGTTATTTCCAAAACAAAAATTAAGTACATATTAATTAAAACTCAAAATTCTACTAATAATTACACTCATCTATTTAATATTGAAAATTTAATTATTTAAAATGTAAATATTGAAAATTTAATTTGATCATTATCATTCAAATCTTTACAAAAGCGACCATTTTTAAACAAAAATTTCATCCAATTAAATCCTTTTTCCGACAGAAGCTTTCCCTAACAGTACTCCTTATTATTTTCCTAACAGTAGATTAATTTAAAAATATTCGTTCTTCCTTATTTTGAAGTTACATGTTTATTATAATGAAGGTATAACTTAGTTTAAAATGCAGAAAAAAATATTGATAATAAAATGATAAAAAAATTAAATTGCTTATAAGCTAACATATTTTAAAAATTAGAGAAATTATTTTAAAATCTCATTAAAATAGTAATGCATTTTTTTTAAAAGTTTTCCAGTTTTTATATTTAAATATAAAAGTTTTTGTATTGAATTTTTCAGACTACCGACTGATATGTTAACTTATAAAAACTTGAGGAGCTAATTATTTCATTAAAAAATTAAATCTAAATCAGATCATAATTAATTTTCCGTATACAGTTTTTTTTGTGTTCATTTTTATTTTTATTTTAATTGCTTATTCTAAAATCATACCTATGTGCTCAATATCATAGGGCTACTCTTTCAGCAAACGTACTACTACAGTAGTAGTTCATTACGTACTACTACAAACTCATTGCGTACTACTACAAACATAAATGCAAAAAATTACTAATTACGATGTACGAAGTTTGCACATAAAAACCAATTACCAAATTCTATGCATTATTTCAAACACGACTACGCTGTAAAAAACTTGAAAACAAATAATCTGGCCCTATTTATCGTAAAATTCCTTTTTACCGGAAGTTACAGAACAAAAATTCTGATGTATCAAAATTTTGGAAGTAATAATTACCGTAAAATCACTGAATCACTCTAATTAAGATCAATATTACTGTAAAAACTACAGCATATTATTTTATGGTAAAAATGGATTTTACGGATGAATTACTCTGAGTGCAAGTAATGCCGCAATTTGATTTTACTGTGTAGTACAAATCAGTTTTTGACACTGAAAGATGGTCTTTTTTCAAAGATAAAACAAACTTCTTTAACATGGGAAGTCTTGATATATTTTCAGTATTATTTTATTTAGTGGATTTTAGAAAAACGCATGCATACATCTGATGATATAGAAATACAGACATATTGCGGTAGAAAAGAGTTTCAAAATTGAATAAATTAGCTCCTTTCCGTCGTACAGGTGTTAAAATAAAAATTAAAAAACAACAAGCTGTTTACTGTTTATTAAATGTTATTTCTGATTGTAAATATTGTGCACTTTAGGGAACTGGATACGAAAAGGCTTACGCTTACGACAAGAAAGCTGGTCACCACGCCATCACCGCTGACCACGGAGCCCAAGCTGCCCACTATGCCAACAAGGACCGATCTGCCCACCATAACCAAGGAGCTTACGCTCGTGCTGGACACGACAGACATGGAGCTCACAGCAGATATGGAGGCAATGCCTATGGTGTCAACTCACACGCTAACTCAGCTTATGGACGATATGGTCAAGCTCACGCTCAAATGGTCCATCAAGCCCCAGCTGTCCACAGCTACCACCATGCTCCAGCTGCCCAAAGTTACCATCACGCCCCAGCACCTGTATCTCATGGATACTCCCGATATTAGAATAATGGTAAGTTGTTTGTATTTTTTTAATATTTATTTTAGTTTTGCATTCAGTTTCCTTAATTATTTTTAATACATTTATAATTTTTAATTATTTTAATTTTTTATTTAATTATTTTAAGTTTAATTTAATTATTTTTTCATTTATTTATTTAATTTACTGAAAATATCGTACTTTAGCATTACCCCTAAACTATTGATGAATATTTTACAAGATTGGGTGTTTTTATTACTAATTACTACAAGTCTTGCAAGAAGAAGAAAAAAGAAAATCCATTTTTATTATATAAATTAAGTCTTATTAATTTCTGAAAACTTGAAAAAAAAAGTTTATTTTATAACTTTATTTCTTAAATACAATATTTATAGATGAGACAATTCGTGTAGGCCACTTCTGCTAACACCAAAATTTTGCCTAACTTGCAGTGTTGCCATGGTGTATAATTTTCTCTATAAAATATTATACTAAAGTAATAATAAATGCAAATAGTTTCAAATCGAATTTAAAACGAAATTGCTCTCTCAAGACATGATCAAAAACAGAAGAAAAGGTAACAAAGTGAAAACTTCGTACTCTTAAAATTTGTTTTCCTTAAGTTCAATACTATCTTCTTTCTTTGAAATTAAGTTTGACATTAAAATTGAATGTTATAACAATAATAACGATCTTTCTCTTTTTCAGAATTAATTTAGGCCCTTATTCCAATCCCTTACAGTAGACCCTCTTGATTGACGCACAAAAAAGAAAAAAACAAACTCCTCGTCGATGTCGATAATGATGACACCTTCTGTAGAAGTTATTTATTGAATGCATAATGTGTATTGTCTGCTAATAAATTTATTTATTGAAATATATGTTTCATATTCTTTGTACTTTCTTATTATGTTAACAAAAATATAGTTAACAATTATGTTAGACACTTCTTTTGAAGTATAAAATTATAAATAAGATTTACAATACCATGATNTTCTCGATAAAATATTATACTAACTTAATAATGATCGCAAAATAAAATTTAAAACAAAACTACTCTCTCGAGACATGATCAAAAACAGAAGAAAAGGTAACAAAGTGAAAATTTTAAAAGTAAAAACTTTTGAAATTTGTTTTTCTTAAATTCAAAACTCTTTTTTTTTCGTTGAAATTAAGTTTGACATTAAAATTGAATGTCATAACAATAATGATGATCTTTCTCTTTTTCAGAATTAATTTAGGCCCTTATTCCAATCCCTTACAGTAGACCCTCTTGATTGACGCACAAAAAAGAAAAAAACAAACTCCTCGTCGATGTCGATAATGATGACACCTTCTGTAGAAGTTATTTATTGAATGCATAATGTGTATTGTCTGCTAATAAATTTATTTATTGAAATATATGTTTCATATTCTTTATACTTTCTTATTATGTTAACAAAAATATAGTTAACAATTATGTTAGACACTTTTTTTGAAGTATAAAATTATAAATAGGATTTACAATACCTTGGTAATATTAATCTTTCGACTTTAATTCTTCAATGTTTTGAAACTTTTACTCTTATAAACTTGCTTGTCAATTTCGAAATATAATGTTAGAAATTTAGGATTCCATTGAGCTATAACGCTCAAATTCGTTGCAGCCTTATTTAGGGGATAGATAAAACCCTATTATAATGTAATTAGAGATCTCTTTAACTTGAATCCATGAAAATGTGGTTTAATTTGAATGGAAGTGCAGTACAGTTCATTCAACCAATGAACAATATCCAATTTTTACGTAGTTTTTTGTGACCAAACGATGCAGTGTTAGAATAACAAAGCTCGCCTGAATCTACGTTGCTTTACAAAAGCCAAATTAGTGTTTGACGAAACACACATATACATCAGACAAAGTATTTAATTTTATACTATTCAAATCTCTTTTTTTTCTATGTTTCTATATCCCTTTCTACTGTCCCGCTTTCCTCTCTCTTTCACTCTTTCCTCTCTCTTTCACTCTTTCTACTCTCTTTCACTCTTTCTTCTCTCTTTCACTCACTATCTCTTTCTCACACTATCTCTTTCTCTCACTATCTCTTTCTCTCACTATCTCTTTCTTTCACTCTTTCTACTCTCTTTCACTCTTTCTTCTCTCTTTCACTCACTATCTCTTTCTCACACTATCTCTTTCTCTCACTATCTCTTTCTCTCACTATCTCTTTCTCTCACTCCCTCTTTCTCTCACTCCCTCTTTCTCTCACTCTCTCCTTCTCTCACTCTCTCCTTCTCTCACTCTCTCCTCTCACTCTCACTCTCTCCTTCTCTCACTCTCTCTTTCTCTCTTTCTCTCCTTCTCTCACTCTCTCCTTCTCTCACTCTCTCTTTCACTCTTCCATCTCTCTTTCTCTCACTCCCTTTCATTCTTTCTCTCACTCTCTCTTTCACTCTTTCCTCTCCCTTTCTCGCACTCTCTCTTTCTCTCACTCTATCCTTTCCCTTTCTCTCACTCTCTCTCTTTCCAAATGTTGTTGCAACTGCAACTCAAGCACGAGTTTCTAAGATAAAAATCATGAGAGATATAAATAAGTTTTCTTACAACAAGTGAGAAATGAGCACTATTTAAAGCAAAAAATTAGAAAAAATTTGCAAAGAAGCTTTAAAAAGTTCAATAACTTTTAAAATAATTAGAGTTTATGAAAAAAAATATTGATGACAAATTCAAAAAAAAAGAACTTGACCCTTCAGTATGTCAAATTTCAATTCTGTAGCTGCATTTTTCTGGGTGGCAGAGTGGTGCCTTTTATTATTTTTTACTTCAATCAAGTCACTCATTGTTAAAAGTTTTATTCCGTCGAATCTTCCAATAATTTTTCTAATTCATTCATAATTTTTCGTTTTTAAGAGGAGAGAGTTCTGTGCATTGAAACAGTACTATAAAGAAATATATATTGAAATGTACTATAAAATGTAAATGTTAATATATATTGAAATATACTAAAAAGTTCAACAGATTACTCAAAAAAATGGTGGCACTTACAATATTTTAATGTAGAGTGAAATGTATCACTAATACAAATATTACGAAATTTCTCACTGATTTTCTCATTTTTCGGTGATTTCCTTGTTATGAATATTTTTTTATTTCTGAATGCAAAGCAAATATACAAAGAAATTGCTATACAAAAAACTAGTAAAAATACAATAAAAAAAGGACAAAACAAAATTGACCAAAGTCATTGCCTTAGAAGATCTTCGGCCTGCCAATAAAATGTAGTTTCAGAGTAGCCTTTAGGAACGCACACTGATAAAAATATGAACGGTTCATCAAATAATTAGTGCAAATGTAGATTCAACCAATTTAACAATAAGAAACTTGGAGCGAAGTTCTACCAACGTCGTGGTGCTGTAAGAAGTATTACTTTTGTAGTTAAACGTTGAACTAAACCCAATGTTTTTATTTATGCTCATTTTTCAGTAATGCGTTTAACCAGGTTAAAGACTTGCGTGTTAACAAAATTTTAGGTGAAATATCTAACGAAACTTATTGTTTTTTTTTTAGACCAATTTTACGGTGCAAGGTTTAACCACGTTTTAAGACATTATGTAAGCAAGTTTGAAGGAAATATTGGTCTGAAAGAAAACTTAGGATTTAGTTCAACGTTTAACTATAATAGTGCCTTTGAGAGCACCATAACAACAGCAAAATTTTGCTAAAATTTTCTTATATTGATTAGAAGATAAATTGGTATTTATTTAGTTAAACGTTAAACTATGGTTTTAAATGTATATATCCTTTTTCTTTTATACATATTCCTACAGTTTAACCTTGGAAAACATTTGTAAGTGTTTAATTTGACGAATTTATCGATCATTTATAAATTAAGTACATTATTAAAAACATTTTTTATGATTAGAAAGTCGGTATCGAATTTTACAGACTTTGTTTGCCTGACAAGTATTGGAATTTTTAAATCTGAAGTTGTTTTTGTATGCTAAAATATTAAAAAGAGGAAGGAGTGATTTGCTTGCAATTTTCGAATTAATATTTCTTTTTAGCTCAACTAAAATAGTTTTGTTACTTATGATGATCCAAATTAGCTTTTAGAAATAAATAATTGCCTAATTAATTCGAATAAAGATTTTGAAGCTTTTGAATCATGACATTCACTCTTCCCCTTTCTTTATTACTAATACATAATCAATTCTACTTGAAATACTAACTGCAATACTCATTATGTGATACGTATAATTGTCTGGATCAATTGTTCATTTTAATGTAGACTTAACTAAAATATTGCAAATATACATGCACTTAGTAAGAAGAAAGAAAAAGACAGTAAGGTTATATTTTAATCCACATTGTGCTAAATAATTAATCAAAGAAAAACATATTTTTCTTGTATCTGTTTCTTTTAGAAGAATTTTAATACGTAAATTATAGTAGTTCATCCCTGCTTATACAGCTCTGTAATTTTTCATTCGTAACCAAACAACCTCGAAAGTAAATTCAATTACTATCTGCAATAGCTAAATATTTGAAGCACACTTTTTCCACTTTACAATATAAAAAAAGGTTTTGTATCAAGATGGATTTTGCAATAACATCAAGCACATTCAAACTGAAGAAAAAAGAAGATATTTTTAGCTAATAGTATTGCTCAGTATTTTATTGCAAGACATCATGTACAGCGACAAACCATTTACAGCAAAATCAAAAACCCAATTACAATTATCCTGTAAATCTGATATTATAATAAAAATTTTCGTATACTTTCTGAATAATATTTCAGGTGAGATGCTAGGTTAAGTTAAATTTTGTGCTAAGTTAAACCCTGTCCTAGAAATATAAGCAAAAATCTAAATCTTTTGTAGTTTTATAAATAAATATTATTTTCTGACAAATATTTAAGTAGTGCATCTTATTTTTTAATTGTTGTTGTTGTAGTTAATTTACGTCGCAATAGAGCTGCATGATGGGCTATTGGCGACGGTCTGGGAAACATCCCTGAGGATGATCCGAAGACATGCCATCACAATTTTGATCCTCTGCAGAGGGGATGGCACCCCCGCTTCGGTAGCCCAACGACCTGCACGTGAAGTCGAGCAATTTACGGTAGAACAGTTCAACGAGGACCAATACCTCACACCCTCGGTCCCTACGTAGACTGATCCAAGTGGACACCCACCCTCACACTGACCGCAGCCAGTGATGCTTGACTTCGGTGATCTGCTGGGAACCGTGTCTTAACGATCAGTCCACTGCGGGACCTTATTTTTAATATGAAAATATTTTTAAAAAAATTCCTTTATTTATTTATTAAAAAAGATATGCAATTTAGTTAAATTAGAAGTACTCAATTTAATAAAATTTAAAAGTAATAGATGTAGTTTTAATTTAGAAATAATAATTTTTTAAAATAAATTAATTTAAAAAAATTAATAATAAATAATTTTAGAAAATAAATTTAGAAAATCGAGTTCATTAAAAAACATTTTTTTAAATGTTGTCTGNAGCCAGTGATGCTTGACTTCGGTGATTTGCTGGGAACCGTGTCTTAACGATCAGTCCACTGCGGGACCTTATTTTTTAATATGAAAATATTTTTTAAAAAATTCATTTATTTATTTATTAAAAAAGATATGCGATTTAGTTAAATTAGAAGTACTCAATTTTATAAAATTTAAAAGTAATAGATGTAGTTTTAATTTAGAAATAATAATTTTTTAAAATAAATTAATTTAAAGAAAATAAATTTAGAAAATCGAGTTTATTAAAAAACATTTTTTTAAACTTAATCAATTTTCTTTATTACAATCTTTAAAGAATTAGGCAAGAAAAATAGAATCTTATGCAGTTCTCCTAAATAATGATAAAAAAAAATTTCACTTTAA